ACACACACACACACACACACACACACACACACACACACATGTGTAGTATTGAATATTGCAACGTTCTAGCCGAAGTTTCGATCGATTTTGCTCATCCTTTCGATGAAAGTTGCGCCGCGGTCTCCCGCAACTTCCATCGAAAGGATGAGCAAAATCTCTCTCTCTCTCTCACTCACACACACACACACACACACACACACACACACACTCACTCACTCACAATCCATCCATCCATCAATCAATCAATCAAAACCCTTTTTTGAAGTTTTTTGTTTATTTATTTTCAAATTTTGCATCTTTTTTTTTTTTAAAACACCTCATTTCCCTGCAAAAACAAAAAATCCAAGTCTCAAAAAAATACAGGTGTACTCAGGGACCATATATCTCATGATAAAAAATGGCAAAAAAAAATTCTTGCTTTTCTTTATATATATTCTTTAATTTTGTTTAAATCGATTTTAGTTTTTGATTTTTACAAAATCCTAGACAAAGTCGGATTCCAAAAAACAAAATATAGGGGTGTAGGGTTCTCAAAGCCCTACACACCCATATATATATATATATTTTACGTACTTTTAGGGGTAAAAAAAATAATTAAAAAAACGGGCCGCGGACTGGGCCTCGTAGGTCGCGGCCTCGGCCGAGAATCTCGGCCACAGCGGCCGAAATGCCAGTGGCCTAGGCCGCGGGTGTCACATAGGCGTGGAGTGCCTGATGTGGCTGGATTGCCCCGATCACTGCCTTGTCAAGTCTGCCTCCCCCACCGACCAGGACGATTGGTGCGCGAACGCCGCTGGTCGTCGCCTCACCCACCCTCGCAACTTGCCTCTGCAGCTGCGCCTCAGTGATGACAATCCCTTATGCCTTGTGTGTCCTAGGCGACGCTCCGACGGCACCACCAACAACGGCTTGTTCGATAGCAGCCAGTTCATCCCTCGACACCCCGTCCCGCCCAAAACCCAATCGCTGGCTCCCCCCCGTCCCTTGCGCATCCACCATCACAACTTCCTTTGATTGGAAGTCATCATCATTCTCCGAGCTAGCCGCATCAACGTGCAACCTTTTCGACTTGGGCACGTGGCCTCGACCTTTCTGGCCTTCCTCCCCTTCACCAGGACCGCTATCTCTCCTGCCCTTTTCAGTCACGCCACACAGTGCCATTTGGACACAACTTTAGTCCCCCTGCCACGTGGCCGATGAAGGGTGTGTTGAGGTGCGACGTTAACGCGCACGAAGGGCACGTGAACGTCAACGTTCGACGGCCGACAAAGAGGAAGGACGTGGACACCACGTACTACGGGGCAGTGGGCACTGGCCATAGAGGAGGTTTGAGGAAGGTGACCACAAAGGTCTACCAGAAAGTGAGAGCAGACGACGTGGAGGCTCGGAGCGTCGAACGGGATGCAGAGGCGTACGACGAGAGGACAGTTCACACGAGGCACCTCTGGAGCCGTGGCAATGGAAGGACCGCGGTATGGAATGACGCCCAGAATGTCCTTTTGTACCGTGCGCGGTCTCTCACCACACCATGGATGCGCTTCGCCTCACCGAAAGCCCGCCCGTTCGTCGACCGTGTGCAGACCATTTTTCCCCAACCAATGGAGGTTATCCTTTCATTGGTCCGACATTGAATGTCGGTGTGCCACCCACCCCTGCACTGCCACCCCCCAAATCATGCAGCGCCCAATACCGCCCATATCAACCCCCGACCCTCCCCCCCTCCCCCTCCACGGGCTTTAAGTGTGGCAAGGCGCATCGATGGGCTTCAGGCACGGCGAGGAGCTTCCTCACCCTCCCCCATGCGGCTTCATACATCACCAAAGGACAAAAGTTACAGAGCGACTTCAAACCAACATTGCTTCAACAATCCAGGATCACAACAAAACAAAACAAGGACAGAAGATTCGCAAAAAAAAGCAAATGAAAAGACCCCCCCCCCCTGAAAAAACAAAAAATACTACTACAAGAAAAATCAACACAAAATCCGTTTGTGTTTCATTCACGCAGCACATCCTGAGACGGTCGACAATCTCCTCCAAAAGGAAGATTAAACTCAATGCATAACAAAAACAAACCGACAATACGCATTTCACATCATGCAACGTATTCATCGGTCCAGGATTGCAACACTACTCGGCGAGGACAATCTACATTGACAACCCTAAAAAAGGTCGACATCATCGCAACTCTTCTAAGAGCAATTTGGAAATGCGTCGCAGCGCACGGAAACGACACTACGTGCCGCTCTGTGGGGCACGCGAGCAATGGATACTTAAAACGTTGATCAAACAATACCTATATCAAACAATGCAATGGGCAAGAACAGTCCCTCCTATGTCTACACTACCTCCACTGCGGCACACTGCAGCACGCAGGATGACGACAATGGCGCTGCTCCCAAAACGCACACGTGGCGATCATGCCAACCTCGGAGACGAGTGACTGATAGACGTTAAGATCGCTTTCGCGATCTCCAAAAGGGCATTGCACATCATCAGGTTCTCCTGGTCGGTCTTCTCGTAGTGCTTCTTCTGCACCTCCACCTCTCGCTCGAGAATGTCGCATTGCCTCGTGAGAATTGAACACTGCCTCTTGATCGCGCTATCCACCACTGTCGTCATCAGCTTCCCGTGCTTATCCATGACGTCGGCGATCTCATCGAACGTGTATTGTCTCACGTTCCTCCTTTTGCCGCCCCCGTCTGCACTACCACCACTGAATGTCGAATCCCTCGTCGATCCCTGATCGTCATCCTGTCCATCCCCACATCCCTCGCTAGCCACGGATTTGTTCCGGCTGCCACTTGGCCCGACCATATGAACCCCTCCAGCCGCACCCGTGTCCGCGAGATTCGTCGGGTGAATGCTGTGATCGGCCTTCAACATCGTGTTCATCTCGGAATACACACGCTCATCCATCCGAAAGTCGAACCCTTTCTCCTTCCTCTCCACCGACGTTAGTGTGAAGAAATTTTGCTTCCCAGATTGTCCCATGAATCTGTGCACGGATTTGAACTGCTGGTACATGTTCTCCCATTTTTCCCCGCACTCCTTCGCCTTCCTAGCACCCACCCCCGCCTTCACGAGCCTCTTCTCAATATCATCTTCCACGTCCTCGACTTCATCTTTCCGTAGTTGTGCCCCAGCCCGGCGAGATGCAAATCGTGGTCTCTTTCCGCCCGGACCAGAGCGATCATATGATCGACGGTCAAAAAATCCTTGCGTTTCCCCCTGTCTCTTGTGGACGTAACATCCATAGACTGCTTGCTTTTCCGCCCTGCACACGGTTCCATCGACTTGTTTGTGGCCCGAGTACCTCCACGCTTCCTCCCAAGCGGACGAATCTCCATATCGCCGTCATCATTCTCCCCGTTGTCATTGTCGCCGTCATCTGCAGTGCAATCTTAACCCCCCCTGCCATCGCAGCCCACGACCATGTCATGGCCCCCGACGTTGATCTTCGCCACCCCTCTCGTTATGCCGAACGGGCTGGACGGACGTGATTGTCGCCGATGATCGTCCCAAACGTGTCGACCCATGACCTATGTGGCAGACCAATCATTGTCATCCCATCGCCCGTCGATTGCATCAGTAGGTGTTGTCGATCGGCAGGCCACCAATCCCGATGTCCTCGTCCTCCAAGCGGCCGCACCAGCACTGCTCATCGCTCCCCGCTTTGACGAAACAAGTCCACGCTCATCGCCCAACTCACGGCAACACCTGCCACGCTCGCTCGGAAGCCCCTCCGCCGTCGCCGAAGGCCGTGTACGGTTGCTGCCCGAATCTGGGTTGACGACAATGGTGTGCGTCACGTCCTGACCGCTACCAGACCTCAGACTGAAGCTCTGATCGACGAGTCCAGAGTCGTAGCCGTCCGAGGTCCGCCCTTCCAGAAGATCAGTGTAGGCCGGTGTCGGTGGCTGCCTTAACAGCTGGCTCCCCATCCAATCAGGCATCGAGCCCCTGCCCAGGGGAGCTGTTCAGGATGGAGGGTCGTCGGTGTCGTCGTCATTCGGAGGCAACGGAATCTCGTGGGATGGCAGGTGGCTGTACAGCGTCGGGTCGTACGGCCACCTGCCACCTTCCACACTGGTGCAACGCAAACGTGAATACCCCCTCACCGCTGCCGACGCCGTGGTCTTCTTCTAAAGGTTGTCCGTCTTCCTCGCCTTCTTCAACGTTGGCGGCATCACTTTTCATCCACGAACGAGGCTGAGGGAGCAACTGTGGAGGACGACAACAGCAAGCAAAAGCAAAGCGACGAGGAGCAGCAAAGGCAACGTGCAGTCCAGGTCAGCCATGAACGATAGGGCAGCGGATACGGAACACACACTTCCGCTGTCGCATTCAAGGCGAGTGGCAACACAGTACTGGAGGAAGAAGCCAACGAAGCAGATTTCTGCAATCGGGGACCGGGGGTGGATGACTACAAAATTCGTAAATTCGACCGTTGGGGAGCCCACCCGAACGACAAAACCCCTCCAGCAGCCAGCCGAAGACGCCCGATGCACGTCATGGCGCCACCGACGGGCCGCCCGAAGAACCGACAGGGTCGTCCCACGAATCGCCGGTAACGGTAAACTGAGGAGGCCGTTGCAGGACGTTGTTGACGACAACGGCCCGCAATGTCCGTCTTCCGGCCGGCGGACCACGAATGGACCACCTTCGCCCTTCAATTTTCCTTCTGGAGTCGACGCCGTTAGCCCGTGAATCGTGGATCCTCGGGTTCCAAAGGACCTCACAAGGTCCTTTGGACTCGAGGGCGATTTGCCTGGGAAATCCTCGGAGCCCGAGGATTTGTCCTCGGAGTGTTTTCACTTTTTTTTCCCAAAAATCGACTCCAAGGACAGGTGGAACGACGACGAAATCCTTGGAGTCGCGTCCCCAAGGAGTGTCTAACGACGCCCTTAGTCATTGTACTAGTAGTTTCAGTATTTTTTGTGCTTCGTGCTTTGCTCTTTCTTTGCCCAGCTATGCAGTCCTACCCTCGGGCTACCGGTATGCCGAGCCTGCCGAGCCTGGAGGTACTAGTAGAAGGAGGTGTTGAGCCTGGAGGAATCAGTACGAAAAGAGAAGACAGAAAAAGAAGAAAAATGCAACGACTCAAGGGACATCAATGCTGATGGTTACATCATGGGTAGCACTTGTGTCAGCATGCCCTCAATGGGGGTGTCTCAGCCGGGTGGCCTTGGTTTCAATTCTAAAAAGTAAAATAAGACAGAAAAAAGAAAGGCCCCGTTGTTGTCAGATTCTTTGGAGCAAAAGAAGTGAAAAAAAAAAGAATGCTGCTTTGGCCCTGAAATGGGTTAGATACATTCTTTGCTGTGCCAATTCAATTTCCAGCCAGGATATGGGTCTGGGCGGGCGATTTGGGTCTGGGTCGTTTCCGCTTTTGTCTTTTTTCTCTTCTACAGTAACTGCATCTTCCCAGAAATACAGTATCCAAGAATTCTGCTGTGTACTAACGAGTAACGAAATCTAGAACAGACTGCCCTGCCTCGTTGCTAGGGCCTACTAAATATATATATATATTTTATTATATAAAAGCTATATTCTTCTCTCAATTTCACCTCACACTACCTACCGACCACTACTCCTTATTGTAGGCATACGGGGAACCCCGTAGCAGCCAGAACCGTGTTCACGAGAGAACATGCGGGGGCTGCTCCTGACCTGCAGGTGGGCGATACCGGCTAGGGGACAGCCGGTAGGATCAGGGACCATGCCAACAGGACCAATCCCTGTGCCTCCCCTCAGGTCCCCTCCCCTATGAACATCAGCAGACTCTGCTAAATGCCAATCGGGGGATCGAGTGGTCTATCTCTAGGTGGCGGGCGCCAAGCATGCCCAGGAAGGTACATGAGGCCAATGGGGATTGAACCCACAACCTCCTGAATGCCACTTGCGAGCCTTACCAACTGAGTTAGGCTGCTGGATGGCCTACTAAATCTAGAGCGGACTGCCCTCCCTCGTTGGCAGGGCTTACTAAGAAAAGAAAAGAAAAGAAAAAGTATTGACCTCTCCCCAAGTGTTAGTGGTGTCTGCTCTTATCAGCAGCACTAACACTGGTGGGGGTGTCTTTTGTAAAAAAAAAAAAAGAAAAAAAAAAAGAAAGATAAAAAAAGACTTTCGGATGAAAAAAGAAAAAAAAACGTAGTTACCTTTGCCACGAGAGCTGTGGTGATCTAGGGCGTTGCTCCACAACCCCCTGCGGCGAATTAGCGTGACCAGCGGTTATAGTCCACTTGATACCTTTGATCGCCGTGATGGGGATTAGCAGGGTCCTTCGCCAACACGGGTGTGAGTGTGAGAGCGAGTGTGAGTGGGTTGTGTGTGGTGTGTGGGAGAGTGTTGGCTTTAGACACTACCATCCAGAAGGCTGCCCATCCCCCACTTCAGATGACTGCTTCCCCGCGTCAAACGTGGTATAACAGTATGAGTGTGCCCCCAACAAGGGCGTCTGCACGTATCACAGGTACGCGCTGCCTCTTTGGCAGGGAAATGTAAGAAAAAGTAAAAAACAAAAAAACGAAAAAGCAAGCAACGTTCTGCATCCGCCCAGCTATGCTGTGAGATACGAAGAGGAAACCAACAAAGTCAGCAAGGCTTTCCCCAACATCAGGGAGCTCCAAAAAGTATCTTCTTTTGTTTCTTTTGTTTTTCCCGTTTTGCACCCAGTTCCGCTGCGACCGCCTGTTCGCTGCAACGACCCCCGTCCAATGTGGCGCGTTAACAACGACCCCCGTCCAACGCAGCGCGTTAATGGCCGCATCGGAAAAATTTAACTGGGCAAGCTACTGGCGACCGAACCCGAACGATCGGAACCGATCCCGGACGTGGTGCAAAATCGACGGAGCCCAAACATTTTTATATATTTTTATTTGTTAATGTTTTTTTTTTTTAATATATAGGGGTTGGAGGGTTCCAGGTGGCATTGCCGCATTGCCCATCACTGCTGAACATACACACATGCACACACACACACACACCCCACACACGCGCACACACACACACACATCTGCTGACCCAGCTGATGCAACACCTACAGCAGCTGCTGCAGTGGTAACTGATGCACCTGATGTAGCCGCTGCATTTGCACCACATAAATACATAATCACACACACACACACACACACACACACACACCCTGGACTCCAATGGAGTCCAGATATTCTTAAAATGCTGGACCCCCTGGACTCCAGCTAAGTCCAGATACATTCCTGGGGGTCTGGCATTTTAAGAAGAGCAGACGCTTGGTAGAGAGATCTGGGGATGCTTTGGGCCGGGCATTCCAAAGGAAAACCAAGGGTTGTTGTCGGGACGACGCTGGCCGGAGCTGGGGTGAGTCGTGTTGCCCTGTAACCTAGCAGGGTGGGGGCATGAGGCCTGGGAAAGCTCGGCAGGGAGGAAGACAGTATTAGAGAATTTTAGAGTGTTTTTTGTGGGGAGTTTCCAGGGGCTCTTAGCATTCGAAGGACTTCCACTAATTGTTGTTTGGATTTTTCTAGTAGTTCCTTGTCTCAATTCATGAAATTTTCTGATGATGGGACGCTGGGCCCGGTTCCCAGTTCATGCCAAATTAAGAGGATATGGTTGTATCTATGGGACGCTGGACCTGGTTTCCAGCAGGTGTTGCTTCCCACCAATAGATGGAGCTTTTTTGTTT